GCAGCAACAAATGGACATGCAGGATCTTTGGGCTGCCGAAAGGTCACAGGAGCCTATTACATTTTTCGTGGATGGCGTGAAGGCAACCACAACCGAAGAGGACCTGGAGACCTACTTTGCAAGCTTCGGGGAAGTGCTGGAGTTGGCTCTGTTCATGAATCCCAAAACAAATAGGTACAATGGACGTGGCTACATTATACTTGGGCCGACAGTGAATCAGAACATAGTCCTTTACACAAAGCACATTGTACATGGAGTTCGCATTAATGTGTACGAGTGTGGTTCATCTGACGAAGAAGAAGAAGAGGAGGAAGAAGAAGATGAAGAAGAAGAGGAAGAGGAGGAGGAAGAAGAAGAAGAACATATCTCAGTGAGGTGAGCTTCCCAATGATTACTTATCCTCTTATTGCAATGGCGTGTTTGTCGTCGCATTCAGCATCAGGGTTTTGCCGGGAGGTTTGTTTACCAGAACATGCTCGCTTTGTGGGGTCTTGGAGCTCAATCTAAAGCTATCGCGGATGTTCGCATAGGGATCCATTAGAGACACAGAAGAAATATTTACAGGGGACTAGAACGGTTTATTTATAGCCTCAGTTACGCCTTGGACATTTTTCTCTTTAAAGTGAATCCGGTATCTCAAATACTTTTAATATACTGTTTTTTGATCGTCGTTTTCTCCCTATTTTCCGCTGTAAAAGAGGCACCGTTCCAAAGTTATTATAGGAATTAGTCAGTGAACCAGCCGACCGAATCTGGCATTCGTCTTCAATTGGGTGCTCTAATGGCAAATGTATCATTCTGCTAGCGATGACGTATCGATTTTTCGATATAGATATAAAGTTGGATGACGTTTCTGTCCATCGAGCATAGTGCTGTATGCACAGTAAATCCTCCTTTGGTGCGTTGGAACTCGCTATCGAGTCCAACCAGAAGCCGCTCAAAGGCTAGCAGCGGTTAAACCATCTGAGGTCGCGCGTTCGAACGTCGGGAGTCGCCACCCCTGGGGTTACGTATGGCAGGCTGATGAAGGCTAATACTTCGAAGAAGAATTTTCGAACACTGGAATAATCATTTTATTAGCCTGAGCTTTCGAGCTCCTGCAGCAGCCCATCGTCTGAGTAGGGAAAAGCAGCAACAAATGAGGTGGCTGGTCCTGGCGTTTGCACAAAACAGCCAAAATTTGAACGGGCAGGAAATCAATAATTGTGGGGTTTCGCCGTAGGCTCGCTACTGTGGACTTTCTCAGTATGTGTTAGTGGGCGAGACT